CCATAATTGATCTTGTAAAGCAAATTAGGCTAAAAATAGACTTTCTAGTCCATGTTTGACTATAAACCATCCATAGTCGATCTTGTGAAGGGGAAAAAGGATGCAACACAAACTTTCTAATCCAAGATCGACTATAAAACTTCGATAATCGATCTTAAACTGCCAGGTCAGATTAAAAAGGGCTTAAAAGCCCCAAAACCCAAGTTTTTCTTCATTTTCTTGTTATTTCTTCATTATTTACCCATTTTCTCCTAAATCTTACACCCTTCAAACCCACCAATCTTTAGCTACAAATCAAGGATTCTAAGTGTTAAAGGAAGGAGATTTAACTCCTAAAAGCTAGATTTGTGATTTTTACTTTCTCTTTTTAAAACCTAAAACCCTAATTTTCGAGAATGAATTTTTAAAGCACTTGGAGTTGTTGGAGTAAATTTAAAGCTTGGGAAACACTTCGAAAGGTAAGATTAAGCATTTTTAGTGATTGACTTTCAATTCAAACCATTGATAACTTATAGTTGATTTGGTCTAGCTTTGAAGAAATTGGCTCTTTTGAAGTTGACTAGAGATTTAGGGTAAATATTTGTTCAATCCAGCTTCTAAGGTATTGGTTTAACTCAAAAGATTTGAGCTTATATGTTATATTGCTAAGAATTTACTTAATTTTAGAAAAGTTGACATTTTTGAAAAGTCAGGATTTAATTAGTCACATAATATTTTGATGTGTTATGAAGGGGGAAGCAGAGGAAATTGGCTCGTTGGCAAGCTAGAGAATGATTGGAGGCTAAAGCTAAGCTTGGTGGTGGGAGAACTGCTAATTTGTCACAGTGAGTGGGTTAATTAAATGCATGTGATGCATAACGCATGGGAAATTTGCTGCACTAGTACTATATTATGAATGTAGGTATAGTTGAATATGCCTAGGCTAGAGAACTATATATGTATACATGTGTGTATGATTGCCTAGATGGGTGCGCCTATGCTAGTATATTGCTGATGTACATCTTGGTATACGTGTTTGCTTATGAATGCCATTGAGAAGCATTAGTTGTTAGACATCTAGGTGATGTATGATTTTACTGGCTATTGGATATGTTGTGGTTAACAAGAGTGATAGTGATACTATAATATGGGATTGAATTGCCCATTGGTTGATGGAATATTGATGTATGATTCTAATGTGATATTATTCATGTGTATGCGGCTATTAGCTATGATTAAATTAAAAATGAGGTTGTTGATGTATATGTAGCTAGTTAGCCATGACTATTAAGGCATTTAGGACTTAATGAGCTTATTGATAAATGAAGCTCGATAAATGTGAATGTCACTATGTGTGGACATATGGAAGAATAGATACATAATGGTCTCATTATGGAATTGTGTTTCATTCGAAGAATGAATTCTGGACATTGATTTGACTTGAGGTTGAGTGGATCCCGTTACCTTATGACTAGGCGTATGCATACAGGGATGGTGGTAAACAAGGGCTATGGTTTGGTATCACCTGTGATTCCTACCTACAGTGTCGTGATGTCGCCCGTCAAGAGATTATTTTGGGCGATGCTGTAGAAAGGATATTACTCCAAGTGATGCTAAGCATCGGGAGACTACTCCAGTCGATGATATGATTTTTGCCAGCTACTTCGGCACTAGGCATGATTTGATTCTCCGCCCATTGCTTCAACACATGCATGACTTATGTTCCACTAGTGGCTTTGCCTTGTGCGTGATTTGTTTCTCCACCGGTTGGCCACAGTGTGTGATTGGACTATGTCTAGGGAAAAACCACTCATTGATTTGAATTGATTTGTATACAACATGCGATAGCCTTGGAGAGGCCTAGATAAACATGACATGAATCGACATGATACTACAGCAACTAGAGTGTATCGTGGAGAATGATGTGATTGACTTTGTTTAACTTTGAAGGCAAGCCTAATGATATGTGAGATGATTTTGGAGATCTTGGGAATAATGATATGCCCCCATATCAAGATCTTAGATATAATGATATGCCCAATATTTAGAGATGTTTACTAGATCATGTAAATGCACTAAGAGCGCAATATTAATTATGTGTATAATATATGTATATAACTTTGATTATGTGCACCACTCACTGTGTATTATAGTACTTACCCATTTTCTACAAG